CAGTTGGCACATCAGTAAAGTTGAAGTTTCCCGCACAGCTGTGTTAGTCTTCCACCCGGACTACAGAAGGACAGATAGTACAAAAAAAAAGACCATAGTATAATTATGAGGAAGTTTATTACTTAATTGGCTAAGCAATGATTATTATATCGGGTTAAGCATAATTGTGCTGTGAAATAAATATTATATTTTACAACTAACCTTGGTGCTTAACTAAAATTTTAAAGATTAACCAGACCCCAGGTCGGAAAACATGCAAATGCTCACAGTGATGTTAATCTTCAATAGTTTGAGTCAAAGCAATGATCACTTTTGCCTGCACCCATTTTTCTTTCTTGCAGATATTTGAATTCCAACATAACTAACACAATAAAACAAGATAAAGTCCATCCATACAGATGTGAATAATCAATTGATTAGTAAGTCACTTTAGATCATCATTATTAAATCTTCTAAAATAAATGTTGATATTATACAACTGTATTCTTCATTCTTTGAACAACTTCTGATTTCTGATTTTGTTTTGCGGTTAATCCTTATGGTATGGGCAAAATTAGTTAGGGCAAATTGAAAATGAAGTTCTTGTAAAGGACAAAAGTTGCAGACATGAATGGTAACACCACAAATAAAGGAAATAGATTGCAGAAAGTGCCGCTCTCAGCCCAAGTCCACATGGTGCTCCCGAGTTTTAGCTCTATCTTGCCATGCATACAGAGGCAAAGGCAATGTTTCCTGTTTTCTATATCTGTTGAAATAGAGGATATCAGGGTAGCTGACACGGTTGTATGATGTAGGCTTTTCTAAGTTAAGTGTCTTCTTCCTTGAACATTTTCAGTCAAAATGTGATGATACTTATAGAATCTATTAATATCTTTGATCTGAAGTTTATTTAGGAGATTGTAGACATTATGGTCTTTCCTGGGATGATGTTTCTGAATGGGGGGACACTATGTAGAGTGTGACCAATCCCCAGTACCTGACTAGACATATAGCATGTCTGTCTTGGGATCCCTGGTCATACACAACTAGTGTGATTGAGAAGTATTCCACTCTTTAAGGGGATCCTTGGATCTAGACTAGAGTGACTGCTCCTTTAGATTGGTTCCAGATTTGATGGGAAATCACTAGGGTGGTCTACAAGCAATCTTGCCAGAATAGATGGAGGAGGATTTGTTATCCTTTTGCTAGAATGCATAGTGCATAGCACAAAGTTTCACCAGTGGCCCCTTCACATGTGTCACAACAAGGGAAGTCAGTGTGTTTAGGTTTTGAATTTTTGGAGCATCTGCTTCTAACACTTAGCATTATGTGGCAGTGATTGTAAGTAAATCCAATACAATTTCAGAATGTTCAGTAGTGTTGTTTTGTGGTGTGTCTGACAACAAATCACAAGCCTTTATCAAGAGCTTAGTTATTCTGAGCATTCATGACAAGCATGTTTTTTACCTGTTTTATTGTATATTGTAAAACAGCAATGTAAAAATTCACAGGCCATCACTATTGAACATTCCGAAGTGCTGGGATCAGGGTCTTTTGGGTTTAGTTGGGATTTGTTTAGCATCAGAATTGAAATGATTTTTCATATCTTACAAATAGAACAAGACTTATATCAATTCTCTGGCCTATAGGACAACATGCCAAGCAGAAAACTTAATCTAATGCAGAAATTATTAATTTCTCAGGCATAGGAAGAGTCTTTGGTGTTCTGTATTTCCTCCCTTGACTGAGAAGGTGGAACCCACACCCCAGAGAAGAGAGTTCATAAAGGATATCATTAGGAATTATACTAGTAAAACCATTAGCTTTTGAATAAGGCATACATGAATGATGTGGTTGTATGTGAGACATGTCCCAGCCTTGTCCACTGTCATTTCTGCCAGTTGGATAGTATCCATCCAAACAGTGTAAACAACAAGATACGTTTTATTTACTGTAAAGTTATATTGATTATAATAAAGCCTATGATGAGTTCATTTTTTATTTTATATCAATCTATTAACCATTTATTTGGTGTTCAATAACATTAGAGAAGGATGTAAGAGACAGTGCAATAGCTGTGGGAGGCTAGACAATATAAGATATTATAGCTTAATTTAGTAAGGATATTCATATTTTTTATTAATGTAAGTTGCAAGGCCAATGCAACTAGATGACATATTTCCTATCCTTAATTTGTAGTCATGAAAAATTTGCCTAACTGTAGGTTTGATATCCTAATTGGTTCTTTTTCTAATCCAAACAGGTCATGAAGGTGAAGATTAAATCCTGGACGGGAGTGGCTACATGGCGCTGGGTGGCTAATGATGACAGCTGTGGCATTTGTAGGATGCCCTTTGATGGATGCTGCTCGGATTGTAGGTTGCCAGGTGACGACTGCCCTTTGGTGTGGGGCCAGTGCTCTCACTGTTTCCATATTCACTGCATTATGAAGTGGCTTCAGTCTCAACAGCTTCACCAGCAGTGTCCAATGTGTCGGCAAGAATGGAAGTTTAAAGAATAA